CCCTCTCCTGGCCAGCCCCACCCTCCTCCCGGCCCTTCCCCCTCCCCCATCAAGTGTTTCCAGTATTTTTTCCAAACCTAGCTCGTAACCCTAGCCCTAGCTCTTATCACTTAGGAAGAGTTCTTGAACAAACATACAGACGGACAGACAGACAGGCTTGCTCACAGACAGACAAACTCTCTCACGTCTATAGTAGATTTCCCAGCACACTCAGACACAGACCTGGCTCACAAGAGCTTAGGCTACGTCTACACTGTAGCATTTTGTTGGCAGAATTAGCATTAGCATTTCTCGTGCTCTCATTCGCATAGTCTCTTTCGATCCGTTTTGCGGAAGAGGTTTTTGCAGAAAAAAACGCAGTGTAGAAAAAAAATCTTTTTAGTGCAAAAAAAATCCTTTTGTGCAAGATCCCTTATCCTTCGAAAAAGGAGGCATACAGGATCTTGCACAAAAGGGTTTTTTGCATTAAATGGCCCCGTCTACACTGCGTTTTTTTCAAAACGGATCAGAAGAGACTATGCAAATGAGGGTGCAAGAAATGCTAATGAGAGCGTCATTTGCATTTCCTCTGCTGACAAAATGCTACGGTGTAGACGTAGCCTTACAGTCTGAAGCCTCGGTCCTGCGATCGGATCTGCTAAAGCCGATGCATGGGCCCGGGAGGAGCCCAATGGATTTGTGCTGGCACATCAATTTGCTGGATGGAAGTCCTCTTTTAGACACTGCAGATCAGAGCATGGGTAGGATGGGGGAAGGATGGGCAAGCAGTGTCACATGGTTACCCAGTTTAGGGAAGTGTGCTTCTAGGTGGCTCCCGTTAAAAAAAAAAAAAAGAAAAAAAGAAAAAAAAAAGGGAGACTACTGCAAAAATATCAGCCACATCCTCAGCTGATATAAATTGTCATAGCTCCGTCAGCTACACTGATTCATCCCTGCTGAAAATCTGACCCACTCTGTCTTCAGTTATCTGGTGAGACAAGGCAATGTGTAAGAGTAAGAGTGGCGCTTCTTACTTGGCCCCAACGCTGAGAGCCAGGCCTTATTTAACACAGCTTTGCGTTACCCTGCTACAGGATGCAATTAGACTTTTTTACCCTGTCAGATCCTGGAGTGAACTAGTAAACAAGCTGGAAAAACTTTCAAGAAAGGACGTTGCTCCGTGGGGGGGGGGGGAACACCCAAGTTTTGAATTCATTGATTTATGAGTTCCTCCCTCCACTGCATGCTTCAGAAAAGAGAAGGACATTACAATTTACAAGCCTTCAGCCTGCTGTGCTGCATTGGTATCAAAGACCGGTGTGTGATCCAAAGATTGTGATCATCAGGGATTTGCTTTAAAAAGCTACATGGCTTTTTCAGATCTTCAGATGAGACAATTTCACTTTGGTGAGGTTTATTCAATTCCAGAATTTTATGCAAGTGAGATGCTATTTGGGTTTAGCATAAAGCTCATTCCGAAGACCAATGATGCTATGCAGACTACTGAATAAAACTTCAGAGGCACCACCAGCCCTTTCAATTCTCTTTACCTTTGATAGGAGTATTCCATCCCCCAGGGGGTTGTCCTCCTGCTTTTCTTGTCTTTTCAAATCAACGACAAGACCTTTGGCTGCCATATTGAATGAGCTCACATGAAAACACTCAGTCTCAGAGCTGGAACTTATCCCTGGTGGGTCACTAGAATAGTTGCAAGAGAGTTGCAAAGACAAATTCATGTCGGTGTTTTGTTTTTTGCTGTGAGACAAATTCATGTCGGTGTTTTGTTTTTTGCTGTGAGAAACGCTGCCATAAAGAAGGTAGCAGCTTTGGATATCTAAGCTTTAATGATAAAACACAGAAGGGGGGTTGGAACCCAGCAGAAACTTGAACGTTAGCATAACTCCCCCCAGCTCTGAAGGAGGGTGGGGAGAGGTGGGCAGTAGGAGACAAGTTATGGGTCAGGGGTCAAGATTTAGGGCCAAGATTTTTCACACAGACTAGTGATGTTTGGGAGTATAACCTGAGACATCTTTCAAAAGGGCACGTAACCCAACACTTCTGAAAAATCACACCCTGGTAAGGCATCCAAAGTGGCCGGAATCACAAGTCACTTCTGAAAACCTTGGTTTAGACCTCTTACAAAGAGGGGTCTGGCTACAAAGTGGTGACCACCACATTGTGGTCTCACCACAAAGACCCAGGAGATACAATCCTTCTGGTAAAAATCCCCATTGGACAGATGGCGCTTGAACGCCACACCCTCTTTCTCTACCCTCTCCCACAATTTCACAGTCTGAAAGGCAGTCAAAATCTCCTCCTGTTCCTTAGTGAAACCATCAGCACCAGTGAGAGTAGTGAAGGTCGCCCTCTGCCAGTCACTATGAGGAAGCGCTTCCTGCAAACTCGCACATTTCACAAACGCTGGGATGGAAGAAGGCAAAAGGAAGCAGGAGGAGACCGACAGACAGACAATCCACACAGCAGCCCTAATGCTCCTGCATTCAGGGGCAAATGCCACACAGAGTAACCGGAGAATAGTCCCATGAGTGAACCCCGCCATGACAGCCTTCACAGAATGATGCTTCCCTGCGCTTATGTACATCATTGGTCAGCCCAGGGCTCTGACAGCAAAAGAAAAGAAACAAAAATCATGTGCCGAGGATGGAAGCCACAATGATCAATCCGTCACACAGGCTAACGGAGGATACCGGATTTGCCTGTATGGCAGTGGCTCATGATGAATTTTATTGTGCACTGATATATGTAAAAGCAGTGACTCTGGCCCCAGATTTGTTCAGATTCTGCCTGCAACACAGAAGAATTAGCTCTGAAGGGAAGGATTTCCCAATGGTTAGGACACTAGCTTAGCTCTTCAGAGATAGGGGTTCAAGTCCCTGCTCCACCACAAATGACATGTGTGACCCTGGCCAAGTTATTTTGCCTCTGTGTATCTCAGTTCCCTGTTTCTAACAGAGGATACTAGTCCTGCCTCACTGGCGTGTTGTGAGGATAAATGCATTAGAGACTGTAGGGTACCTAGGTATTATAGTAATGGGAGTCATATATAACCTCTTTCTTGCTAAGAGAGATGCCCAGACTACATTTTTGCTTATATCTACCCTTGACTGCTATATGTTCATGCCATTTATACACTAGATTTCAAAGTCAGTGCTATGTTTTTACACTCTGAGTCAAATCCTGCCTCTCAATTCATTGGTTTGTTATTATTTGCATTGTGGTGGCATCTACGAGCCCCAATCAAGGATCCCCTCCCACCCCATTTGCCTTGTCACTGTACACATAC